AACCACGTCCCAAGACAGGGCAGTAGCTGGAAGTAGCTGCTGGAAAGGGGGTGCAGCTGCACTCAGCTGCCCATGCACCCCCAAATCACACCTTCGGGTGCCTCAGCTGACAGTTATGGGACAAAAAGGAGCTGGAGCAGGCAGGCACTGTGGAGGGGCAGTTCCCAAACCCCAGAGCTTCTCTCCAGCTCGCTGCGATCCGAGGGGAAACGCTTCCTCCCCATCGCATGATTTAGAGGAACAAGTTAAACAATTGCACATGAAACTCTGGCGCACGTCATCGCCGGAGCTCTCCTCGCTTCCCCCGAGTGTCTGAAGGGATGAAGGGAGTGCACATGTTTACCGAGAGAGACCATGGGAGAAACGAAAGACATTGTTTTTCCAAAGGATTTCTTGGCTGTAAAAGACCTCCACCACCCTGTGGCTTCCCTGATGAAGGCCCAGCGTTAATTTGTTAAATCCACATCAAGTGCCCGGAGAACCCGTTGTTTATTTTTGCTAATTCAGCCGGCCGAGATCAAATTGGGGTTTTATTTGTTAAGGATAAACCTTAATTAATAAAAGCTATTTATTTAGTTAGAGCTGGCCGCAGCCTGAGGGTCAGATATGCCACGATCATTATTTCAAGTAAAACAAACCCAAAACGTCTCTCAACAGTTTGAAAAACGTAGAAACTTAGAGGGCTGAATTTATTTGTCTTAGGAAGAATTTACAGCTAATTCCCTCCAGGCTATTTCAACCCTTAAATTATATCCGAGAAGAAAAGAGGGGAAAAAAAAATACCATTCCAGGCGGAGAAGGGAAGTAAATGGTACGGCAGATTTGATCATTTTGGCTGGGGGGGGTGTGTGAAAAACTTAAAGCTTAAAAAGGTCTTTGGCAAACTGCTCGCAAATAAATGGAACGTGTGAAATAATTTAATGGCAGAAAACTGTTCGGGGCTGCGGGGTCTGTGGCACAATGGAAAATGAAACACATTGGGGGAGATGTAGCCTGGGCTTTTTTGCATGAGAGGGTTGAACTCACTCCCTTCTGACCTGGTCCCTGAAAAAGGGGGGGGGTTTTGCACCTCAAAGCCAAGTGTCAGAGCTGGATGCAGCAAAATCTTTCCCAGGCTGTGGTGGTGCACACGGAGGGGGTTTGCAGCATCATGTGGGGGAGAGACAGGCTGGCAGTCGGGCGAGGTGACATCGTGCTCTGGGATGAGCATTTTGCAGAGAAATCCCAGAAACTGGGTGTCCAGAGGGGAGTCACCCCACAGAGAGACTGATGGTGATGGAGCCCATCCCTGAAAGCCATCCAGGGGAGCATCCCTGCCCAGGGACGCCGTGTCCCTGTGGCTCAGGCGTGTGAGCAGCTGGGAATGTCAGCACTGGTTGGGGCTGGCTCCCAGCTGCACCGAGGCCGTTTATCGTGTGCTAATGGAGGTCGTAAGTCAGAGCCGGAGCCTCGGTGGAAATTAGTGAAAATTACCTCTTTACAGCACTCGGCGGCTGCTGCGCGGGAGGTTGGGGGCCCTGCCAGCGTGGGGGCCCTCCTTGGCAAGCCCAGCGAGTCCTTCCTATGGAAAACTAATGGGAACACAGAGGGAAAAGGCAAGAGCTGGAAAAGTGGGCTCGGTTGGTGCTCAGCTGAGCCAGCTGGCTCTGCCCCGCGGGGCTGTTGCCTTTGCAAATGGGGCAGGACCCGTCACTCCCCAGTTCCCGGCGTGGGGTGTGATCCAGGCTTGTCAGTGTCGGTGCTCCCGCCTGGAGAAGGGGCTTGGGGTGACTCCCAGGGCCCCATGGCACCCATAGGGCAGAGCTCTGCCCCCGGGCTGGCTGCAGTTCTTGGGCAGGCAGCATTGCCTGGTGCTGGGCAGCCCAGAGAGGAGGCTAGGGGTTACCTAGGGCACATCCAGCACCCCAAAACTCATCCACATCATGGGGGAAAAGTCTCGTGTCTTTCCTAACACACTGGGGCAATTTAAGTCCGGGCCCATCCTGCTCTGTGCAGAGCCCCTGCACCTCCCTCTCCCCATCCTCCCCCGCACGTCATCTTTCGTTATTCAGTAATGTTATCCCCCGGTTTTCCCCCTTCTCCTGCGTTTTTTTTTCCCCTTCAGTGGAAACTGTAATCAGTGGAAGATAAATACAGTGAAGGTGGCTGGGGAGAAGGCTCAGGAGCCCCTCTGACCTCGGACAACCAAGCCCTGCCCCAAACGAATCCCCAAATTGTAACTGACAAAGGCAAGGGTTTGGCTTTCTCCAGAGCCTCCCCAGGCACTCCTTTGGGGCAAAATGTAGATGGTGGTGAGCTGGGTTTAACTTCGTGCAGTTACAAACCCTTATTCCGGGAAGCCCATCGGGGTGAGGAAATGGTTTCCAATTCCTCCATCAAGGTGTCAGTCTGGTTAAATCCAGGTCCTGCTGATGGCAGTGAGATGGCAGAGGGTCTTTGGGGCACCCTCTCCATCCTCTTCTCCGTTCCTTCTCTGGTGCCACAGAGAACTTAGCAATGCTCATTTTTGGGAAGCTGTTTTGAGACTGTTAAAGCATTTCTGACAGAAACAATCCAGCCCAACTCTGTACATTGTAAACCTGTCAGACACACACCACCAGCAATTAGGGTGGCATTTATCTGGTCCCACAACCCTGCAGGGCCTGAGCTAATGGGGACAAGATGTGTTGGTCTGTTCCAAGGCTCATCCCTGAGCAGAGCAGAGGATCCAGGCAGGCCCCCCAACTGTGGAGCTGCCTCCCTGCCATACAGAGATGGCCTGGAAAAAGTGTGGAAGGTTATTCCATTAAAACCAGCAATAGAGGCTGAACAAAATGCCCCAACTGAGGCATGGCCCAGGGTCTGAAGCTCTCAAAAAGCCTGGGAACCACTGGCACTCGGACACATCCTGACCCAACTCTGGTCTTAAACCTCGATCCCAGCATGCCTGCCAGCCCCATATGGGAATTGCTCAGCAATGCTCATCTCCCGTGGCCATTTAGCTCTTCCCTCCATGGGTTTGGGGAGAGAGAAACCAGCCAGAAATGTGGCCAGATCCTACAGAACTGGATTGAGAATTAATTTAAGAAACATTTCCGCCTCCTCCTTGCCTTCAGCCAAATTAGAGTGGGTGAGAGAAGCAATCACTTAGGGAAAAGTCCTACAGCCAGGTTTAAATTGGGGATGAAACCAAAAGGGGTTTATAAATTTTATTTATACATTTCCTAAGATTCTGTTGAAATCATTGCTGGTTCAGTGAGGGCAGTGGGTGCCCTTGGTGATGGCAAGTTTTGAACCAAACCCTGGTCTGTCATTTCCCCAGAAGCCCTACGGGGTCATCATAAACCCAATGAGGAAACATCTCTCACCCTGGTACATCCCATAGCTCTTTCCCAGCCTGATGGTTCCCGTTTCAGTCCCAGGCTCCCAGAAAACCCAGGGACAACCATGGCTGGACTTCATGTATTTTAATCCAGCGGCTCGTTAGCTTGCTGAAGGAAAACAGGACCAAAAAAGGAGTTTAACTAAAAGGGGCAACTGGAAAGCAGAGACTGGCAGAACATTTGAAGCTGCAGGAACAAGGGCTGGAGGGAATCCTGAGAATTTTATTTGTGAGCCTTTAAACACGATCGGCAGCAAAGGGCAGCCTGTGGTTTCCTGGCTGGGGAAAGGGCCTCTAACCCACACATATTTCAGGCACAGCACTGTCCATCCTGTCTTTACCCAACCGAGAAGGCCGTGTCCCAAATACAAGAGCTCAGGCTGTTTCCAGCCCAGGGGATGGTCAACCAAGGTCCAAATGCACCGACAACACAATAAAAGACCCAGAGAAATGCTGGCAGCTGCAGCGAGGCCCTGGGAGGGGGACAGAGCTCCTTTTCCTCTCCTTCACACCCAGGGGTGCTCTCCTCTTCCCAAAGCCCCAGCAGTTTGGCCCCATCATGGTCAAAACGTGGCATTCCTGCATGTGCCTGGGTGATGGGGGACAGGGGTGGTGGTGGTGGCCAGGTCCCACCTCCACACCCCTGCCAGCAGGTCTTGGGGTTTCTCTGGTCTTCATGGCTCGTCCTCAGGATGGGACAGCTCTTGAGAGTGGTGTACTCAGGCACAAAGGGCCTTAGGGACTTGATGCAAAACTTAGCAGTGGACATTTCGCGGCTTGAATTATTAAGAATTAAGGTCCCAAGATGGTTTTTGTGGTCTTAAAGATCTTGGAACCCATAGTTTCCTCCTGCTCAACAGCTTGATGGTGTCTTGGAGCAGGAGAGTTAATATCCCTTGCAGTTGATTTTGTTTGTTGCTCGAGTATCATCTGAAACCCCTGCACTTATTTAATAAGTGCCACAATAACTTATTAGCAAGCATTTAATTCTTGAGCATATTGAGGGAGTGGTGAGTTCTGCCACCGTGGCCCCTGCAATGATATAGAGCAGAAACCCCCAATATAACCCTGCTATGAATCAGAATGTCATAAAATTATTAACATTTCAAATAAATCCAAAATGCTTTCCCACCAGTAGGTACAGATTGGATCCAGATGCTTTATTAACAGAAAGAATCATTAACCAGTACCTCCATAAGGCAGAACGACAGCGAGTCGTGCTCCCCACGAAGCCTTTGCAGGCAGCTGACTGGGTGTCTCGGAAAAAGACTTCATAAACTTGCCTAAACCTTATGATATTAGTGACAAAGAGGAGATTAATCTCAGCCTGGCTGACAGCCCAAGATCAATACTGAGAAACCAAACTACACCCTCAGCTTCATGTTTCCATGAGCCAGCAAAGCCAGAAATAAACACTGTGGAGGCTGAGCTCTGCGAGACGCGGTGCCGTTCGCTCCGAGCTCTGAAAGACCGGGGTTGGATGAGCAGATGCTTGGCTGCAGTCCTGTGTCACCCTGGGGACATGCCACGGCTGGGGCTTCAGGGGGTGCTGGAGGTGGGAGCCGAGACCCTCATCTTGGCTGTGTTTTGGTGCTGAATTTCCATGGCTGTTCAGGAAAGCTTGACCTAATGCCTTAGGATGAGCCGAGCCCGGGACACCCTGTGGGCACGTCCCCAGTTTGGATCAAGTGCTGCCCAAAAATCCACAGAGACCAGTATTCAAAATCAGATCCAGGTGGTTTTAGCCAGATGTGAAACCACTGCAGGTCTTTGCAAATATTGGGGTTAACCCTCAGCTCCTGCAGGTCCCGGAATAGGTTTAGATTCTCATGGTGACCACAGGGTTGCACATATGCTGCTCCCTCCAGAGTCCCAGGTGCCCGCAGGGAGTGCAGACCTCCAGGAGGGGCTGAGCCTGGCTGGGCTGTGGGGTCTGTGGGGTCTCACACAGGTCTGGCTCTCACATGGCCTCTTCTGTGCTTTCCTCACAGGTGAGAGCCTGAGCCCGAGCCGTGGGGCGGCCAAGAGGAAGAAGAAGCAGAGGAGGAACCGCACCACCTTCAACAGCAGCCAGCTGCAGGCTCTGGAGAGGGTCTTTGAGAGGACGCACTACCCCGACGCCTTCGTGCGGGAGGAGCTGGCGAGGAGGGTCAACCTCAGCGAGGCGAGAGTCCAGGTGAGCACAGGTTTGTGTGGGAGAAAACAACACCCTCTGCCTTGCCCCCAGGCAGGAGCAGGGACTGTCCCCTCTCTGGTTTCATCCTGCACACGACCACGATCGGTAGGACAGAGGCTTGGGACATCCCTGCTGACCCCCTTCCCTCCCCACACAGGTCTGGTTTCAGAACCGGAGGGCCAAGTTTCGCCGTAACGAGAGGGCCATGCTGGCCAACAGATCAGCATCACTGCTCAAATCCTACAGCCAAGAGGCAGCCATTGAGCAGCCCATGGCGCCACGACCCACCGCACTGACCCCGGAGTATCTCTCCTGGACCAGCACCTCCCCGTACAGGTAGGTGGAGGCTTTGGAGGAGCTGGGGAGAGGTGGCCATAGGGCTGCCTAGGGACCAGTCCACTGTAGGAACGCAGCCTTGTGCTGCTGCTGGGGATTTAGGGAGTTTTACAGGGCCAAAACGAGCTTGTCTGACTTCGCTTTGGGAACCCCTTTCATCTCTGAGCACCCACTCACTGCCTGTTGCTGAGCAGGCTTCTCTGTCTCTATGCATTTTGGGGCCCTGGTACTTGCAAAGGATTCGCTTGGCCTCATGCTGACCCTTCCCACATCTCGGCACAGGAGGTGACATGGGTCCCTTCTGGTTCCCAGCTGTTCACGACCAGCCATCTCGTCCAAAAGCTCAAGGCAGGGCTGCCTGGTGCATACTTTGAGGGGTTCCCACATCCAGCCGGCCATAAAAATGCTGAAGCCTTGGCTGCTCTTGTGGGAGATCTCTGAGAGGGAAGGGGCAGTCTGGCCTGGGAAGCCGGCAGGACCACGAGGGGCATGGGGACTTCTCCACGGGCAATGCCTCATTCCTCCCTGCTCCCTCCCCGCAGCACTGTGCCCTCCTACAGCTCCAGCGGGACCGCGACGCCCACCCAAGGGGTGAACATGGCCAACAGCATCGCCAGCCTGCGCCTCAAAGCCAAAGAGTTCAGCCTCCATCAGAACCAGGTGCCGACCGTGAACTGACCAGGGCAAAGCCCGCCCAGCGGCCTCATCCAGGATACAACGTGGAGCTCCTGTGCCGGTCCAGGACGAATCCGCCACCTGCCCAACACATGTCACTCATCCAGTGTGTCTCAGCACCTCTTCTCTCCTCTTCCCTTCCCTTTTGAAGGTAGAGTCAGTCCCCAGGCCGAAGTGGCACATAATTATAGCCACATATGGAGCAAACTTGGTTAGAAATTTGCTTTTCCGCACACCCTTATAATAACGGCTATATATACACACACATACCCCCCACGCGCTCTTCGAGGACAAACAGACTTGCCAAGGGAACAAGAATTTGCTTCCAAACATGGAAGGATCTTGGACTATTGGATTTGACCAATTTGGGTATCTCGTCCAGAGAGCCAAAGAGTTCTTGGGTCTTCTCCTCCCGCGGGGACATGCAGCGGTGGGAGGACCACGAGCTCCCTTTCCGCCAGGCTGTGACTTGTGGTGCTCAACCACAAGTGCCGAAGCTGACCTGTGTGTTCACCTCTTTGTGCAGCCCCAGCCACAGTGTTTGGGACTTTGGGAAGCTGACGGCTCACCCATGCCACGGCCAGTCCCAGCCAGCCCTCTGCACTGTGCTGCCTGCATTTAGGAGTAGCCTATTCAATGGCGTCAGGTTTTTTTCCTTCCCAGAGGAGCAAGGAGGGCTGGAGCATCTCACCAGCCTCTCTTGGAGCCTGTGAGCTCTCCTGTGAGCCGGGGGTGCATCGCCAGTCCCCAGGCAGGCACTGCTGCCCTGCCTTGGTGGGCTTGCCAGCGATTCTGCAGAGCCCCAGGTCATTGAACCGTCCCAGGGAAAGAGAAAATTGGAAAAAGCTGTTGGGTTTCAGCTGAGTAGGCGGCTCCCAGCGCTTCGTGCCAACGAAGGCTTCGCCTTCCGGAGGCACAGCCTCCCTGTCGGCAGCTCCACAGATGTGAGCAGGGGTCTGGGGCCGGCGACGCCACGGGGGGAGGTTTCTTTGGTTTTGCAGAGAGGAAATGGTTTCCCCCTCGTCCCACCCTGCCGTGCAGCCTAATGAGGTTGCAAGGTGGGATGTGTGGGGGGACGGACACGGTGGGGGCAGCCTCGCCCCAGCCCATGGGACTGAGCCGTGGAGAGACGCAGCCTCCGCCTTCCCCTGCCAGTCCTGTGGCAATGGGGAACGAGTCAGAGGGAGGGAGGTGTTACCCTCTGGAAACCAGGCCACCCTTTCCTCACCCGCCACAAAATGCTACCAGCCAGGCGTGGGGACACCACCAGCTCAGAGGGGTGGCCCGGACAGAGAAGGCACCAGCCCTACTTGCCTGGAAAGCTTGGCTTGGGGACTGTAGCAGCAGGTCTGAGGATGAACAGAGCAACTGCTGAGGTGCTTCCTCCAGATAAACATCCTCTGGTCTGTGACACCAAGGCTGAAAGTGTCACAACTACAAAGTGACCATCTGAGTGCCCACAGCTCCCAGGAACATCCTCTCCCGTTCCCACTGGGGCTCTCACTGCAGCTATATGTGGGACCCTCAGCTGCACCCCAGACAGCACCAACCCAAGGGTACTCACCCAGCACCCAGCTGGAGATCTGATGGGAGAACAAGGAGAGGAGCACATCTCCTCTGGCTGGGGGTGAACTAGCCCCTCCATCCTGCCTCCAGCCCCAGCTTTCTCTGCTCCACCCAATCTATTTGGGAATGACCACCTTCTCCTCCTCCAGCACGGCAGGCAGGGACAGGGCACAGCCTGACTGACACTGTCCACCCCATCCAGGGAGGAGTGTCACCCTAAATACCCATGCTCTGCCCCCATCCCTATTTCCAGGGCTGGTATTTCCCCCATTTGCCATGCCAGCAACTCCCCATGCCACACAGAGACTTGCCAAGCCAGGGGGAAGAGGGATCCACTGAGGATCAAATCACCCACCCTGAGAAACACCCCCTGGGGCAGAAGGAGGAGGCCCGGGGGGGGGGTCCTATTCCCATGGAAAAGCACAGGGCTCTTTTTTCGGTTATACAAGATGAAACCACAGGGATATAAATGTCGCTGCCTCTTTGAGAACATTAATGAAAATAAACCCATTTAATAGTTTGCAGATGCCGTTTCTGTAAACCTAAAAAAAGCAGGGAATAAATATTTCTTCACTAAATATCTATATGTATATATATATTTGAAAACATTTGCTCCTAATCTTAGGGCCCCTCCTTTGCCGTGCTCTTGGCAGCTTATCACAGCTTGTCAGTCAGTGCTGAACTCACCGAGACGAGATACAAATTGCACCCACGGAGGGGTAGCAGGACCGAGGGATTATTGTAATCTAAGCTCTCCCTCCCCCTTTCTATTTGTACATTTCAATTACTTGTAACAAGATCCATGGTGGATTTTTTTTTTTGGTTTTGTTTTGTTTTGTTTTGTTTTTTTCTGCATGTCTGCGTTTCGGAAATTTTTGTAAGGTCTTTTGTAAAAACAACTCTTGTGAAATAATGGAGGAATAAATATTTTACTGAGTAGAGGCGTGTCAGTGCATGTGATGGGGACCTGGCTCTTCCCTCATCAGCCACTGTGGTTTCCCACCTGCCCTGGACAAGCAGCCCAGGCAGGGGACCCACTGTTTTGGGCAGGGGACAAAAGCCATGATCTGGCCACCTTCACCTTGAGTGATGGTGGCATCTCACAGCTTCTCCCCAAGACCTGGATTTCATCCCAGACTTCCAGACAAATGGTCCACATGCCCTGGGAGAGAGGCAGGAGCAAGGGGGGAACATGTCAAGGCCCTGTGGATCTGAGAAGGGGTGGAGGGACCACGTTTCTGCAGCAGAAATGCTGGGCTTCCCTCTGGCTTGGGAACCCTCCAGCCGATGCCTGGAGATAGTGGAAATTGAGAGAGCACAGAAAACAGCCTAACAAAGGTTCCTGAATAACAGCTAATCGGAGGGCCTTTCCAGAGCCATCTTATTTCATTTGGGGATAATGAGTGTGGGCTGTTGAGGAAGGGGTGTCAAGGAAGAGGGGTCAGCATGCTCTTCCCCTCCAAAATCCCACTGGGAGTGGCAGAACTTACAGGATCTGTCCTGGGCAGCCCCCATTAATGCTGGTCCCAGTTCACACCCCCAGCTTTGGGAGCAGCACCCCCATTTCCCCCCAGCAGCAAGGGAATGGGCTGAGCTGGGATGCAGCCAGGAGCAGGCAGCAGAGCCCCTCCTGCAGGGTTACCAGGTCAAATCCAGCGCTGTAAGTGGGAATGGAAACCTGCAAACAGTAATTGATGCTCCACAGACATCAGAGATGGGCATCTGTTAACAGACCTCCCATTCTCTGGGGACAGGGCTCATCCATGGTCCCAGCAGAGACTAGCAGAGAGTTATCCCACAGCCCTGGGAGCTGGAAAGAGGCAACACAGAGATCTGGACCTGCTCAGGGAATTGGAGGCAGTGGAGAAATATGGAGATTTTCTCCTATACTCTCACTGCAGGAACATCCAGGCACTCAGACAGATGCTGCTCTGTCAAGCATGCAGACTGGGTAAAGGCTGGGCAGCACAAACCCAAATCAGCAGCAAACCCAGCTCTTCAGGCTCCATCCTGTGCACCAAGGAGGGCACTAACCTGGTGAGCTGGAGGCTGGGCACTGATGGGGCACATGGGAGAGAGCTGGGCTGAGGGGGTGAGATGTGGGACCTGAAGGGCAGCCCAGCCTCACTGAGGGCTCAGCAGAGCCTCACAACTGAGTGGATTTGCAAGGAGCCTGGATTAGAATAGGATGCTGTGAGCAGAATGGCTCCTAGAGAGAGTCACTCACAGGGACCAGAGCAACATGTGGCTCTCTGTGGGTTTTCTCTTCCAGGTCTGCAAAATTTGAGCTGACAGGCAGCAAGAAGGGGCATATTCTGCACAGATGACTAGTTAAAATTTTAAAAGGGTGAGAATAAACTATCAGCTCTGGGATCATGGAGTGCTTCCCAGAGAGCAAAGGCTCACAGGTGCAGAGCAGGCACAGAGCACCCAAAACACGGGGAATCAGTGGTTGGGCAAAGCTGACACCAAATACTTGGGGCAGCCAAAGTTAAAGAGAGCTCCAGGAGCTCACGGTGCATCACCAGGGGTCTTTGGGGCACATGGACCCCGTGGACTGCAAGGTTCAGGAATGGCCCCTCAGCAACACATCCCAGCTTTTCCCAGAGCAGTGCAAGGCTCATCCTTGCATCACCCAGTGGAATGAACTCCCCATGTTGGACATCACCCCAGACTCACCACAGTCCCACACACTTGACCATCCCTGTCCAACTGCTGCACTGCTGCTTTGTAGCCACTTATTTATTCATTCAGTAAGTGGCTTGCAGATCATTAATGCCACTTCTCCAACCTCCTGCCTAGAGAATATCACCCAAGCAGCATCCTCACGTCCTCAGCATGTGGCCAGCACAGAGCACCCCTCTGGAGGCCATCCAGCCCCAAGTCAAAAGACCCTTGGAAGTGAAGAGCTTGTAGATCCCAGGGCAGATTCTTCCAGTGACTCATTACTGTTGACTGCTGGAAATATGTCACTTATTTCCTGCCTGAACTGTCCCAGCTTCAGTTCATCTCCCACTAGAGCAGAAGGTCTCAACCCATGGTCAGCCTGCTCCCAGGAGCTGATGGACATCTCCTGAGGGGTCTGCAAACCAGGAGACACACAGGCATGGAGAGCTGCAGCTCACCTGGCAGGGTCTGAACTCCACAGGGGAGGGATATGCCAGGGGAAGGCTGCCAATGAAGAGGAGCTCAGAGGCATTGTGCTATCTCTCCTCTTCCAGTACAGGGGCATTTCTCCTCCTAGGAAGGGCACATCCATCACCAGAACTAATTTCTGCAGGAGAGCTGGTCTCCGTCCATACACCACAACTTCAGGAGCAGGGGAAGGTTGCAAGGCCATTTGCAAACTGTTTCCTTCCTCAAAGCAGCTGGTTTTCAACCAGGGCAAGTCTCAGCTGATGGGAGGATCTCCCTGGACCCCCTTCCCTTGTTTCTGACCCCACAGCCCAACACTTCTGCATGACTTTCCGACTGATGAAAAGTTGAAGTTTGCCCCTACAATATTTTAATGAGAACAATTTTGTATTGTCATCAGCCTCGGCTGCCACGGCAGCGAAACAAAACAGAGCTCACATTTTCCAGCTCGCAAGGACACCAGCCTGGCTACCCCCATCCAGAATGAAACACAGACATCTCGTGGTTACAGCATCCTCCTCTCCCGTTATCCTCGCGCTGAGCCCTTCTCCCTCTGGTGGCAACGGGAAGGTCTGGAGACCCTCTGAGCCCTGCTGACACCACCTACAACCCGCAGAAACACAGGTACAGCAGCGTGTCACCTCCCAGGAGCTGAGCCCCTCCTGCCCTTTGGGGTGATGCTCCTGTCCCGGGGGGGGTGTGATGCTCACCCCAAACTCCACAGTCCACCTGGAAGGAGCATCTCCTCCCTGCAGCAGATATTTTGCTTGCTGCTGCTTCTTTCCAGCCCCCACAGGAAAGCAAACTAAGGCAGTAGAGAAGCTTCGAGAAGCTGGATGGTAGCTGTCCATGGGGGTTATAAGGTTTTAAAACAATTTGGGAAGGAAGGAGGAAGCAAAGGTTCCCTTTGTAGCAGGTTGTTACAAAGCCAAGTAAGAGTCATCACATGCAAGGAAGAATAATTGTATGGAGAAGCACAGCATTGCATCCATATACCACAGCTTCAGAAGCAGGGGAAAGTTGAAAGGACATTTGCAAACTGTTTTCCTCCTCAAAGCAGTCGTTTTTCAGCCAAGTGAGTCCCAAAGGACAAGTCTGAGCTCCCTGTACCAGGCATCACATCTGCCTGCTTTGGAGAGGCTGATGGGCGCTGGAGCAGATACGAGCCGGCCCCTCAACCCGTTCGCCAAGGAATGGCACCCTCCCTCCCTCCATCCATCCCAAACACCTCCAGGCCGGCACTCAGCTCCCTGGTCAGCCATGCCCCGAGCTGGGGGCTCGCTGGGTGCGGGTCCCCGGGGCCGAGGGTCCCCCGCAGGGTGCCCGCAGCCACACGATGGTGCTGCAGCCCCGCGCAGGGAGCGCAGCGCAGCCCGCGGGACCCGCCGGGGAACCCCCATCACACTGTTCTGCTCTGCTCCAACCACCCCACGGGGCCAGGGACCCCCTGTCCCGCTCCCTTTCCCTGCCTGGGGCTCGCACCCACGCCGCAAGCACAGGGCGTCTCACAGCCCAGCCCCAGAGCCGGGTTGGAAAAAAACCCGTGGAGAGTTTTCCATGTGCCAACTTCATCCTCGTGTGACGAGCAGGGAAGCACCGTTATGTTTTCCAGGGGACTCACCCCTGGGATGTCAATGCCTGTGGAGTTGGCTCCTCTCACTCTCTCTACAAGTCACAGGAATCCCAGTTCCTTAAGAGGAATGAGAGGATTTGAGTGGCAAACCCCACAGCACGAGATGGAAGGGCCCCACGTCTGCTAGAGGGAATGGGAGATTTTGGGAGGGCAGAGAAGGCAGAGTGACCTGTGTCACAGGAGAGCTGCCCAAGGAGGAATTTTGGTCCAGATGCCGCCAGGGGAAGGCTTGGATGAAGAGGAGAGACTCGGGAAGTGCTGTGGTCAGGTAAGTCCAGTGCTCAGGGTTAGGGGGACCCTGGGACTGAACCAGCTGGAACTGTGTGAGGGAAAGTGGCTTGTGCTGGGTCTCTGCTCGCTTTTCCCCCACCTCCAGACACCCTGGGCTCAACAGGGCAGAGGGAAGACACGGCCATGTGGATCATACTTACACATATAACCATAGACTGTGAAGTGGTTGGAAAGGTCTTGAAGATCATCTAGTCCCAACTCCCCCTGCCACGGGTAGAGTCACTTCCCACTAGACCAGGTTGCTCAAGGCCTTATCCAACCTGGCTTTGAACACTGCCATGGTTGGGGCATCCACAACCTGTCTGGGCAGCCTGTTCCAGTGTCTCATCACCCTCATGGTAAAAAAATTTCTTCCTACTACAGTATCTAACCTAAATTTCTCTCTTTCAATTTGTACCCACTTAAGCACCAAACTCTGTTGTTCTGCAGTCCCAGGTGGGTTTCAGTGTTGCCATTTCCTGTTTGAGCCAGGTGTGAAAAACGAGTTGGCACATAAAATGCACACACCAAAACCCACAGACTGGGTAGATGCAACCCCTGTCCCTGCTCTCCTGGAGCTGTGGTAGACCCTGGGCACATCCTTCGCCCACGCTGATGCTGGAGCAGGAATCCAGTAGCTCTGAGCTTTAGATATTATTTGGAAAAAGGCAGGGGATGCTTTAGTTCATCACTTGCAGGGAACACCACTGGAAGTGTCCAGGGGAAAAACAGCAGCTCTGATCACCCTGTCCTGGGAGAGCCTTGATGGGGATGGGGCTGGTGCTGCCCAGGCAGCCGAGCCCGGCTCCATCCTGCCTCCCACAAACCTCCACTGTGCTTCAAAATAAGCACAATGCTTGGGCCTCTCTGAAGTCTGCCTTGTGGGCTTTTTCTGTTTGTTTTTTTGGAGCTAGGAGAGTTCACATTCCCAAGCTTTTCCCTGCAGCCAGTACAGCAGGGTTTATTTTTTTTTTCATAAAAAAGAAGAAAGCCGAGCTGTGCATGTAACCTCAACTTCCCTGAGCAGAGCATCAGCCTCAGGCACTGAACAGGCAGCCTAGAAGAGGCTGAAGGAGCTGGGTGAGGGTTCTGCAGCCTGATTTCTTACTTCCCATGCCAAAATCTCAGTCCCAGCCACATCTCCAACCACAGCAACATGTACTGGAGAGAGTCCATTTTATAAAGCTGCTGCCTTTCTTATTTGACATCTAAAAGCATGAGGGGAAAAAAAAAACAATAAAGTGGAGCCATTTTATCCAGCTACAACAGACATAGGACAGCACCTTCCAAACACCAACAACTTAAGAAAATAGGGGAAAACCAGGGAAATGAGGCATTGGCTTCCCAGCAACCTACTGCCAAAAAAAAGGGGACTGCTGAGCTTGGAAAATACAGGCAGTTCCTTTGCAAGTCATAAGCACAGAAATGAGAGCAACCATATCTTACCTGAACTTCTCAAGCTCTCCAGGATTTTTAGGTGAACAACCAAGCTTTGCAACAACCTGCTGCTCAGGGAAGGAAAACTGAGCAGGGCTACTGCTGAATTTAAAGGATCAGCACAAATAATGCACACCTGGAAAAGGGATTCCTCTGCAGGAGAGGTGACTCCAGAGGAAAGGGATGTCTCTTTAGGAGTCCCAGGGTACTCCAGGCTCTGCAGTGAGGTTTAGCAAAGGGCTTTACAGCTGGGGATCCATCCTGCTGGGGTTGGACCCAGCTGCTGCCCAGCTGCATCTGCTGCTCCCAAAGGAAGGATGTATCTGAGCACAATGATTTGTTTTTATTGGGAATATTTGCTTCCTGCCACCAGGATGCATGTGCAGCAGCAGAGAAATGTACAGGGGGTTCGAGACCATGTGAGGCAGAAAAGGCTTGTTAAGCAGGGTCTGTGTTACCCAGACATCTGCTGAGGCTGTGAGGGAGAGGTGGACAAGAGCAAACTGCTGAACCTGCCCACTTCCTAATGTGGTGGGAGAGCAGAGCATTCCACTCCAAACCTCACCACACAGCTTGGCCTCTGTGCTGGGGTCAGGAATTACCAGGACAGAAGCTGCTACCTGAGCTGTGCAAGGGCTGAGCATCAGTCTGAGCAGGTGTGTCACCAGTGCTCTGTGAGGCCTCAGCAAGAGCATCTCTCAGGACAGCAGAGTTAAGGGTGCAGCCTTAATGAGTAGGGCAGGTGGAAGGGGACTTTATTTTCTGCTTATTCTGGTTTCCCCTGTGGTCTTAGTAAGGCTTTGTGTTGCCCTCAGAGGGGGGAGAGGTATGAAGACCAGAGGTTTCCTCCTGCCTTGTCCTCCACAGGGATGCTCCATTGTTGCAGTCCCTGGCACCTGGGGACAGAGGAGCTCAGGAGGGTTTGTCACCCTGGTCTCAGTCTCTCCTCTCCAACACAACACTTTCAGGTGACACTGCAGAGCAGCGATACACTCTTCAAAGCCACTTTGCTCGCTTCCAGAGCTTTCTGCAAACCCCAGCTGGTCCAGGCTGCACACGGTGTGGCAGCACTGGACAGCAGGAAACAGCTGAAAGAAAACACCCCCAAAGCGGTCACGGCACATTCCCCAAACAGCAGCGGCCATTCTGCAGCCAGAGAAAGGCTACAAACAGAGGGGGAGAAAGTCAGTCTGCTGCCCTTGAGAGCATAGTCAGGCATTAGTGGCATGTGGACACAGATACCACGCTCAGGAGAAAGCTCTGTCTGCAAACTCCCTGTTTTGTGTGAGCATTTTAGTCTTTCCAGAAGTCCCAGAGATTTGTGTCCGGTTCTCCGCAGGGTAAGTGGTTCCTGCTGGCTGTTCCAGGCACGATGCTCTGCATCTTACTGGGATGAGACTGAGATGGAAAAGCCACGGGTGCTGCTGGCAGGGAGCTGCTGAAGGCTGGCTGAGGGACAGGCAGGATCCTGCCTGCAGTGAGGCTCCTGGCAGGGAGCTGTGTCCCTTGGCATGAGACGAGGTGGCTCTGGGAGCACTGAACACTCCAATGTCTTCACAACATCACCCCGGAGGTTTTGACTTCCATGTTACTCTGTCTGGCAGGCACCTGCCTCCTGTTCTCCTTGTGGGAGAGGGAACCTAAGGGAACTCCGTCCCCACAGACCCACATGGCTGGGCAAGAGGAGGGCGGCTGTTTTATAACCCCCTCTTCTACCTCTGCTGACCAAAAGACTTTGTGAGACCCTCATGATTTTCCCTTCCTGATTCACGGGATATTTGTGACCAAGGGGAAAAGGCACATCTTCACCTTCCCAGTTCCGAACACAGTTGAGTCAGAAAACCTCCTTTCCTTCAACGAACCCCCTCTTTGAGGGGTAGTTCATGTGCTTTCTCCCTCCTGCCCTCAGCAGGAGCGAGAGAAACCTGACTCTGTACTCCCTTCCTGCTCCACAGGGAGACACGTCCCTTCTCTCCGGCGACTTCCCTGCCGAATTTCAACAGCACAGGGAGTTTACCAAGGCTGCAGGTGACCTCCTTGGCAACCTACCACACACACACACACACACAAACACACACACACACACGTTCACACTCACACTCACACAGCACCCCGTCCCGCCGGGGAACCATCGGAGTGCAGGATGAGGGGGCTCGGCTGGTCGGTCTCTCGGGATGTTACCAGTACGGGGTGGTGGCGAGGAGGATCTGCAGGGCCATGGAGAAGCAGGGCAGCTGTGCCACGCTGTAGGCCACGGAGCGCGCGGGCGCCTTCAGCCGCAGCAGGTAGGCGATGGTGTGCACGACGCGCCCCACGCAGAAGATGAGGAAGTGAATCCTGGCCACTGCAGGACTGGGGTCCAGCATGGAGTAGATGGCTCCGAGGAAGAGGAAGGGAAAGATGTTCTCCATGTCATTGCGGTGGGCCCTGAGAAGGGAGATAAGGTTGTTCCATCCCACCAGAATTCCCTGCTGTCTCCCATCCCTTCTAGCCATCCCCAGGTGCTGCTGGCAGCCTCCTCTGGCGGATGGGGCAGACACAGCCCCCAAAAGACTTAGTTCCCCCTTGCACAGAGAGGCAGGATTTCACACCCTTGGGATGCTGAGCTCCCGAAGCTTGCTCTCCGTGACTGGGATGCCTTTGCCCTGACAGATGACAGCTCCAGGGCTGGAGCTTTCAAACAAACAAAGCAAAACAAAGACCCTGCAAAGCTGCAAAAAGCTCGAGGCTGGTGCGGTGCCAGCACGGCACAGCCCCAGATGTGGCCACGTTACACAGTAAAAGGCAGTTTCCAGACCACAGCTTCCCCAGAGGAGAATCTCACAGGATGGGAGTGTTTGTGGCTTCGCCACTCTCTATAAATGCATCCAGAGGCGACCAGGGAGGAGCGCCCCAGGCACCCCCACGCTGTGCCAGCAACACCTGGAGGGTGGAGGGACCACGTGGTGACACGTGGCACTGATGGGGCCAAACCCTTTGCTCCAGCTGAACGTGCTCCTGGGTGTCACAGCATCAGCTGCCACCACAGTGGATCCAATCATGCCACCAGTGTAGGCTGAGTCCCTCTTCCCCCAGGCACCATCCTTTGAAGAAGGGAAGTCAGTCCCCAAAGCAACAGGCTGTCCATCACCTCTGCCTCTCCCTTCCACAGCACAGAGCCCCATCCTCATGATTCCATGGGGGGCCTGTCAGGTCATGCTCTGGTTGGTGGGCTGGAGAGTGACTCAGGCATGAGGTCACTCATTAGGTTTTTTCTGTTATCTCTGAAGGTTTGAGAGGCAGAGATGAATCCTTGATAAGAGCTGCCACTGCTTCCCCATTCTTGTGCATGTTTGAATGTTCACAAAGCCAAGAGAAAATTTCAAGTTATTTCTTTGCCAAGACAAAGGCCAGGATACCTGTGCTGCTGTTCTACACAAGATGAGAAGTTCTCCTACCTGCTCTTTCCACCTGCATAGGAACCAGTCCCTATCTTAAGGGCCACATCCTCAAGCAAGGGGTGGGGTGCATGAACATGGTAAGGAAGCTGCTGGAAACCCTAATTCAGCTGCTCTGTGGGTGCAATTTTAGGAGAGCATGGAGGAATTGGCCTAGGAAAGACACTAAAATGAGTCCTGTGTCGTAGCAGTGATGTCAGGAGGACTTGGTGGGGATGAACTGATCAGAGCCTGGACACAGAGATGTATTCCCTGTCAAACCTGGGAGGGAGAAGGGGAGCTGCCGTGGCTCTGCTCCCCTCCTGATACCAGCTGGGATGGTCTCCTTTTTTTCCAGGGAAACACCTTGGGTTTAATCTGTCTTTCCCAGGGCTGTGAACAGACCAGCAAGGACTGACTCTGAGTGCTTTAGCTGCCCCAAGTCAGATCCCAGACTTCCCCAGGTCTTTGCTGCAGCTCCAGTTATTTATTTTTATGGAGGTTTGTTTATTGTGAATAATCAAAAGAGGATTACGATTATTATTTCTGCTATTATTTTCTTTTTGCTAGGAAGGAAACAGCTCATTTCTCCTCCTCCTCCCTCTGGCAGCCCAGTGATTAGGTAGCACTGGATGTTTTCATCTCATTTGCCATTCTAGTCCCCCTGGCAGCCCAGGATTAGGTGGCACTGGATGTTTTCTAAAGCAAATGCTGGAAGCCGTGGGAGATGAGTGATGAGGGCCTCACCCACAGCAGAGAGCTGGCAGATGAGGGCTCAGTGACAGGAGGGCACAGCTCCAGCCCCTTTCCTGCACATCACCCAGCATTCAGGGCACCTCCTTTGGTAAGGGGGACAGCAAATCAAGCCCAGGGCTGAATAACCCCATGTTTTACCTCTGAGGAACTGTGAGCCCCACAGAAGAGGCGGAAGATTCAGAGCTTGCCCATTAGGGAGGCATAAGTTATAGCAACCCTGTTCAGCCTCTTCCCAAATCCCTCAAAAGGGCAGCCGGATACAACACTGGAACCAGTCCCACAGCTCCCTGTCCAAGCTGTGCAGGAATCTGGGGGATTCGGGGTCCTGTCGGAGTAGGACAGAAAGAGACTTTGGGTGTGGGTATGGGATGAGACCTCAGGAGCTTGTGGGACTTTAAGCACCTAGGAAAGGTGTTTGTGTCCAGAGTCAGCTGTTGGACCTAAACCTGGATCCTTCCACATGTCCTTGCTCCAGCACACACCCTGCTGCCATTAAAGATTAAACTGTTCCAGTGGCAGGGTCCCACAGCCCAGCTCCAGGCATTCAAACCACTTAGGCAATTACTTAATTAATGAGCCCTTTAGCTTCCCACTGCTCCTTTGCCAGCAGCTGCCAGGGATCCATCCCCCTGTGGAGCAGAGGGAATGCCAGCACCGCCGGGTTCTCACCTGCGGCACCGCTCCACGTCGGGGTCCTCGCGGCAGAACTGCAGCCCCCCGTTGCGCAGCGCGTCCTCCGGGTTTGCAAACGCCTGCAAGACAGTCCCCAGGTCCTCACAATGCTTTCAGGAGCCTCAGAGGTAGAAGTCTGGCCCCCAAGACGCGTGGGGATTTCCTCCTGCTCCAGTTTTTCACCACCCTTCACAAGCACGAGAGCAACTGCGCTTCCATGTTTAACCCCTGTCCTGGGGGTTAAACTCTGCACCTCCCCAGGGGTTTTTCTTATCCTCCAAAAAACCCAGTGCTGCCTGCTGATCAGGTACCAAACCTCATCCCAGCCCACTTCTTCCCATGAAACCCATTTAAAGGAGACTGTGCCAACCAGCAAGTGAGATCACTGCTGGCACAGAGCTTGCAGACACACTGTGGCATCTGAAAGATAACAGGACTGACAGATGAGGAAATACTCCCTGGCTGGCTTTTTGGCAGTGGTACCGTGTGATTTTCCCATGGGGAAATGGGATCCTACACTAATAAAGTTACGAATAAAGATGATTTATATGAGCTCCTCACCTATGCTCAGAAGCTGTTCCTCAGGGACCTGGTTACAGGTGACAGCTTCATTTGGCAGCCTGGAAAGGGCCCTGGTGCTTTCTTTAATCATGTTACAAGCCTGGATGGTCCCAGGGCTGGAGCATCATTTAAAATCACAAGGGGAGGAGCCACATCAGTTACAATCATGTCACAGCACAGGGTTATCGCTTCGTATTTTTTCTGAGAGTAGAAATCTCTCCCTCCTGCTCCACTGATGGAATTGGAAACCCCTCAAACACTTTAAAACAGATTTTATAAACAGATGAGTTTTGCCAGGAATTCAATTTGGGTTGTGGGTGATAAAAGTCCAGTTAACCCCAAATCCAGACAGCAGCTGGAACTCCAGGTCCTCCCTGTACTTCTCCCCCGTGTCCAAGAACGATTTCCTCCAGCTATTGTTTTTATTCCCCATGACTTTCTGATCTCCTGGAGCATTCCCATAGCCAGTCAGCCTCCAAAAGCTGAAAAGCTTTCTGTTACATTCCAAGAAAAAAAGACCATTTCAATGATTTCTTCTCAAACCTTTTTTCCCCCCTCCTATTCTTCCAGGCATGGCAAATTAACTGTAAACAGTCTCTTTCTAGAAGCATCTCACCTGCTTGCCATTTTAGATTTGTTTATTGTTTAGATCAGGTTTCAAAAATTATAAACACCAAGCTACAGATGGTAGAAACAAACAAAAAGGGCTAAAGAGAAGTGAGATATTTATCTGCTGCAGCTATGAAACTTGTTTTTCTTTCAACTTAAGTCAAAGAAACTCGGTTTGCTTCAGGAAAACTTTGTCGACCTTTACAGGAATAAAAGAAGAAAGAAAAACCACAGAAGCCCAAGGAAAAAGCCAGAAAGGGAGACGAAGGAAAAGGAAACTGGATCTTACCTTCTTTCTGAGTCTCACTTGTCCCGTAATGATGGCAACGACATACATTTTTAAGATCAAAATTGTGCTGTAGAACGTAAATGACAGAAACACTTCGTTTTCCATCATTTTGGGGGAAGGTGCCGCTCGGTCGCCTCAGCACTCGGATCCCGTGGCGATCTTGGGAGAGGGGGCAGGAACAGCTGCGTTTAAACACGACACAAATCTCCTCATTTCTCCGGCCGAAGCCCACAGCCCCTGTACCCCCCCGCCAGGCTGATGGGGCGCAGCTGCCGCTGAGCAAAGCCCAGCCAGCCCACGGAACAGGCTCCCCCTGCCCCGCACACCCCGACATCACCAGCTCCAGGGGGACGAGATGCCCCGAGCCCGGATACAGCCCCCTCGACCCTGTGTGCCACAGCCAGGCTCACCCGGCCACAGCTTGAGCCCCTGCCTCCCTAAAACAGCCCACCACGACCCCCTGTCCCACCTCCCATGCGTGCCCAGAGGGACAGAGCTGCACGGAGCATCCCTCGCCCAGCCAGGCAATGCTCACCCACAGACAGGAGCTGATCTGCTCTCGAAGGAGGAGTTAGGAAGAAGGCAGGCACCTACCTCAGCCACATCCAGCCCTGTGCTCCTGCGCTCAGTCCGTCCCCTATACCACAGCCCACCCCTCCGCTCCCAGTACGTCCCAGTCCCGCCCAGTCCCGTGGCAGAGGCTCCCAGCCCTCCCCTACACATCCACCTGCCGAGGGATGGACAGCGGACAGAGCTGTCCCTTGGCCCACCAGCGCCCACCCCCCGGGAGCCTGGGCTGTCCCTGCACCCCCGGCTGGGAGGGGAGCCCGGCAATGACCAGCCTGGACCCCAACCGGGCAGGTCCTGGACTGCAAAGCCCGAAAAACTGCAGCAGAAGCAAAGAACAGCCTGCCTAGCCCCAAGGCAGCTCGTCCTGGTTTCTCTGAGAGGATGAATCAAGGCAGTCAGGTGTAATTCTGTCCCTGGTTTAGAAAACGCCACGCGAATTTGGAGCTGCCTTTTCCTCAGCCACCAAACACTGTGGATGAAAGAGTAGGATCTGAGCCTCTGGCAGGCAGCTTGGATGGTCTTCCAGCCTTTAACTCCTTCTTCCCCAGCCCTGGCCCCAGTGCTGGCAGCAGCAAACCTCAGTGAGCTGGCAGTGTGGGGGCTGACAGGAGATGTCCATTTTTATTAGTGTGGAAGGGATGGATTTTTTGTTTATTTCCTTTACACAGGGAAAAAAAAAATTAAAAAAAGAAAAATACTTCAGGAAAATGGAGACTTTCAGATATTGAGTGAAAAAAGAATGCTTTGAGGATGAAAGCAGTTTTATAATGAATTGACATGTTGGAATAAAAAAATATGTTTCAAGCCACAAAACAAAAAGCCTCAAGAAACAATGAACCGAGTAAAGTTTGTCATTTACAAAATCATGTATGAGAGCATCAGTGCCTCTAGGACTGGTTTCGTTTTTCAAAGCTTTTTAACTGCCATGGAGCAAAACTAAATCCTGTCCTTTCCAAGAGGGTCCAGAGTATCCCAAGAGGAACACTGCACTAAGCCCAGGACCTGGCCCGTTGCTACAGCCCCTGGACAGGTTTGTCCCCAGCAATAGGATGCTGGAAGCATAAAGGAATGAAGAAAATGCAAAGCTCAGTGTCTCCAGTGGGGCCCGTGTGGTGCAAGTGCAGCAACCAGATGGAGATCCTGTGGTTTTGTGTTGCCATGGCATCGGGGTGGGGGGAGATGGGGAACGTGGACCAAGGAGGAGGCTGCATGGCCTCCTTCTTCTACCTGTTACCCAGAAATGTTTTGACAAACCAAAATCTCCTACCAAGAAATATTCTGCACAGTGTGCCCACAAAGAACAGGAAGTTTGACCACAGTCCCACTTGCAGCACTTTGCACCATAGTGGTTAATAAGGTGTAAAAAGCACCCCAGTTTTGTATCTGGGGGAAGAGAATTCAACATGAAATTGCAGGGACAGATGGACAGGTTTATCCTTCTCACCCTCCCCAGAACAGCTGCCTTTTGGTAAGCCTTGCGTCCTCAGCTATGCTGAGTGTTGACCTGGGAAATTCAGCTTGTGGTTGCAATGGTATTGTTAGTGCTCTGTATTGCTACTGGGCAGTTAATCACCAGCAATCTGAAAGAACCACACACGTTGCATTCAATAAATTGTGCTATTCCTGAACCCGACTGGCCCTTTTGAACGTGACCAGACCTACAGTTCACCGACTATAGTCCATGAAACATAGTCGGGGCCTTATGGTTACGTTTTTGCAACACTGCACAGAGCCTTTGAAAACCCCAAACACTTGGTTTCAAGGGAGAGGTACTTGCAGCTGGTCACCACCACCCCGGCGTCAGGGCGGCTGCAGAACAAGCCCTGGCACAGCCCGGCGTGGAGCTCCTCAGCCTGGCAATGTGTGCCTGCCTCCAACAGGCTGCTTCCCTGGGGGTGGGAATGGGGACACCAGGACATGCAGCAGCCATGTGGACTCAGCCACTGCAGTAAGAGCTGGGGTGTTCACCACCAAACTACATCCAACCCCACCCACGTCTCCCTGGAGGTCACAGGGTTTCATAAACACCATAATGCCAAGAGTAAGTAGTTGGCGGCAAAGCCACATCCCAAACGCCGCTCCCTCCCTTTTCTCCTCTCCACAGCTGATAGGGATCAACCCACAGCAGAGAAGACCTTGGTGCCTAAGGTCTGGGTTTATGCAGGGCCAGACCAGCCCTGCAGCAGGGATGAGACTTCCCCAGCAGTCCCTTCCCCAGCTCTCCCAAGAGTCTGGGAGAAGCCAGGCAGCCAGACCCTCCACCAGCACATCACACCCTCCATGGAGCTGCTCCAGTTTTTACCAGCTGAGGATCCAGCCCACGGGGTCCTTGGTAGTGAGACCTTTTCCCTTCATGCACCTTCCTCCCCTCCCGAGGCAGCCATGCCTCGCTGAACAGCAGGAATATGCACCTGCAGACAAGCCAGGACTCCTCCTTGCCAGCCAGCCAGACTTCTCCTCCTTGGCATTATTCAAACCCTGGCAGGAAGCCCTGGACAAATTGCACCAGCAACTGGCACAAATTTAAATTGAATGGAGAGATCAAGAAGTGCAGTTTGTTTAGGAATAAGCCCTTGGGGCAAACTCAGTCACACCATCTCCCTGGTGTATAAAAATCACGTGGGCAAGGAAAGTTGTTTATTTTGTGTGTTTATGCATTTCAGACCCTTTCAGTATTACATAGAGTGGAGCCCCAGTGGGGAGGGACGTGGATGGGGATGAGGGGCAGAAGCTGCCTGTAAAGGCAGGTGTAAAGCTCCTGGGATCCCAGCTCCTGCTTGGTTTCCCATGTTCAGGGGTCTCACGCTGGGCAGGACACATCCACACGTGCACCTTCCTGGCTTTTGGAACCCAAGGCAATGCAGCTGCAGGAAGCATGTTTAACCATCCCATTAATCCAGGCGGAAGCAGGCTGTTAATATTAATGGTTTGATCCTCCTCCACAGATCACATTCTTCATTGCTTGAAGGAGACCAGGTCCTTAAACTACAAGCTGTGCCTTAAAGCCTTGAGAACAAGAAGTTTCAACCCAGGACAAGACCCACCCAAAATCAACATCACCAGCCAAAAACACTGATTTTTTTTTTTTTTTTGAGAAATTAATAATAATAATCAAGGTCAGGCTTTGAAAGATTAGTCATCAGGTTAGACTGACCCTGGGAGCTGTGGAGAAAAGACGGAGGGTTTTGCTCGAGGAGGAACTGAACTGTAGCTGGCAGAAGGAATGAAAAATTCATGGGAGGTGCTTGAGAAAAGTACTTAAAAATAGAAGCCTGTAATAGCAATCCTGCTTTGAAAAGATTATGGAATAAAAATCACCCTCAGTTCCCATACGGGCTGTTATTTATTTGACCAGCTGAATTCACACTACAGTATTATAACTACATGTTTTTCCACTCTTGCTATGTTGGGGAATTTCCTGGTGGCAGTGACACGGGAGTTGTGTAATAAATCCTGCACAGTGGAACACTGGCACATCTGCTGAGGTGGCACGGCCTGGGCTCCAACCTGATCCCAAAGGGCAGCAGACTCTTTGGGCAATTACAACTCAGATTCCCCGAAATTTTCCCAAACCCATTACATCCCACAGCCAGGGCTAGGCAAAGAGCCCGAGGGGACTGCTCCAAGCTGGAGAAGCCGGGCAGGTGGGTGGCACTTCTCCAGCGTGTTCCCACATGCTGGTGGAGAAGGTGCAGAGCCCGGTTGGGGTTTTGCTTGCCCTGGGCCTACAGCTCAGCCCACAGCTCCAAGAAGAGCTGAGCCACATTCCTGGCTTGTTACAATGCTGCAGTGGACACCAGTACCCTCCTTCCCTGCCATTTCTTCCTGCTGCTCCCAGCACAAAGCCTTGGAGTCTGCACAGTATCCCAGTGATCACTCCCCCTGGGCTGCACCCATCCTGGGAAATCCCATGAGAGGCTGTGCTGGCTCATGGAGTCAAACACAGCTTTTCAAGTAAAGACATGAGCATTTTAACTATCTGTTAGAGAGAAGGGCGCTCCACCTGCCTTCACTCCTTAGTCTGCACAAAAACTCAACCACCGTGACGCACCTTCTTCTGCGGGTGAGTGAAATCCTGTTGCTTCACCTGCAGCTCCCCGTCCCCAAGCTCCTGGGCTCCTCCTGCTCTTTGCAGCGAGCAGGACACAGAAGATACTGCAAAGTCACTGAGCAGTGGAACCATCAGCATCTCTGGCCTTCAGCATTAGCACCTCCGGAAACAAATGGGATGTTTCAGCCTTTGGCAAACTCCAGCAGATCTTGTCTGGTTTGTATTTTAGAGTGACGGTGCTGGCGGGAGCTGCCTGAGAGGCCTCAGCATGAGGAATGTACAATCAGACTCTCCCAAATTGTCCTTCACACTTGGAAGAGCAGATGCCTGCAGCAGGAGAAAGCCAGCAGGAGAGGCCCAGGGAAGGGGCAGGGGTGTGGTGGCTCTGAGTCCCAGGCAGAGCAGAACGGAGGAAGCTGCTGTTCCTCAGCCAGTCCCAGGACAGGGAACTGGTCCAGGGCCAAGTGAGAGGCAGTGGCACGTTGTCCTCCTGCCTTCTCCCTCCAGCTCCACCCACAGTCCCTTCCTGTCTACTCCCAGGCTGCTGCTCTGCTCCCAACC